CGGACGGGGTGGGTTGACTGAATGCCTTCTCCGCGTAAAGCCCATTTCAAATATGACAGATGAAAAGCAATTTAATTGCGCCGGGATTTCCCCGACTCCATCCTGCGAAATAGTTGGAATGTATAATTCATCGAAAATTTGCCCCGTGCCTCTGGCTCTCCTCCCATTTCGCTCTACAGCTCTGCCGTGCTTAGGAAAAACGCCGTAAGAGACTTTAAACGTTGCCAGATTTACTTCACTAAAAACCGAATTTAGGGAATAAGTTTTGAATATTTTCTGTCGAATTTTTTAGATAATCTTGCTCGCGACTTGATCTAATATATCCGAGAATTTCGCGGAAAAATACACACAATGTTCTTCAAAAATACATGTTTTATCCGGAGAAATTTGGCAACTCTCACAGGTCCATACGGCGTTTTTCCTTAGTACGGCAGAGCTGCCCGCGAATAAATTTCAAATCTTCATTCCGCGAACTAAAACGTTTGCCTCCGGTTGATTATATCTCTCGCGATGGCGAGGCGTGAATGATCGATTATCGATATTTCTCCATGTGAAGCTATGGTAAAAAATCGATTATTAAGGTGTTCACCCTGTTTATCGATCCTTTACCATAGGTTTAAATGGCAGATCTGTCGATTTATCGCAAAGCACGCCGCGCCACTGATCTCTCGTCATTTTCCTCACTCCGTCATCCTTCGACGTCCGACCAGGCGAAAACCCCAGGACTCTAAGACGGCCGAAGTTATTGACTCTTTTTATCAACATGCTGCGAATATTCCACGTCACCGAGATATTTCTTTAATCTTTGAATAAGTACCTTTCTTAGTATATAATTTGGGAGGCTAAAATAGAATCAGCAGTTAATGAACCGACTGGAAATATATTTTCCGAAGTGCGTGTCCATAGGATTGCGATTTTCCCAACCGGATGACGGACGCATGTTTACTTCCATCCAAGTCACCTGACCTTTAACTGTCTCAAGGTCATTCAAACTCAAGAGATTCACGAGTTGGCCCACTTAAAAATCCGACCGATACAACGGCACGAGTTTCAAAGGAATTTCGTCGCGTGACGCAGCTGGAAAGAATGTTAAGTCAAACGCCAGGACATTCTGAATAATTTTCCGCCCATATCAGCATACTCACGAAAACACGGCAAGGAAGTAATGGTGTGTGGAAAATGTCATTAGGTTTTTTCCGAAGGGGCTCGTAGCGGATTTTATGCAAATTATCTCCCAGCTTCAAAATTCTTCGGATCCTCAGGAATGACGGAAGAGCAACTGTCTCAAATCTGTCGAAAATTCGTCATCATCGGCGGAATCTCGGCTCGGGATATTCAAATATTGTTGATCTCATGCTACAATAGAAAGTAACCCACATCGGAAATTATTTTGGGCTATTTATACATTTCAACAGCCTAGCGATCAATACCCGTTATCGATTAATTTATTCATTTTCTGTTCAAGTATTCATAAGATATCGACAATATGAGTATTTTGAGATCCATCCGTTTAACTAATTTATAAGTCTGTTCAGAAAATTCCAAGTAAAAATATGTCAAAAAATGTTTCCAGATCTACATACTTATGCTGTCGATAATTTGTACATGCACAGTCATATACCACATAAATTCTTTTAGATCGCATTGCTTTCAAGCATTAGTTGAATTGGCCATATTGTACTGACGTCTCTTGCGTTCCCTTCAGACACGACTTTCTTTCCTTCTTTGATGAACAACCTACACCACGAGTTAGATAAAATTAGCGCATATGAAGGAAAGCGGAGATTTGAAAGCACATAGCATTTATTAGAGCGTGATTTGACTGGAAGATTTGAATATTTGAGAGCGGAAAGTTTGGAATGAGGGACAGGGAAAACCTGGGTACTTCATCGAGAGACCATTTTAGACGTTTTTGTAAAGCTGTACCCGTATTGTAATTGAAATTTTTATTTGAAAAAACGAGTATTATACTGCTAAAATGCAGGTATTTTCCTCGGACGGCAAGTCCATTCGACTTTCAGATGGTACCAATTTCTATGTAAGTAAGAATTTTCTCATTCCTGATAGGGCTTCAGTAGACAATGCAGCATTTCAGCAGTTAGATCGCAGCATCTAACTTGCAGATTTTTAAAACAAGTTTTAAGCTTCATGCGTTTTGACAGTGTCAAACGTCAACAAAACAGAAAGCACCGATGTTTTACATTTGGCAACTGTCTGTTCAGTGTTTTTTTGTTTGAGTCCATGACAGTCAAGCCACTCAACGAGACAGGACTCACTGACCAATAGGTACGAAATTCTGTTACCTCGTACCTCCTCTTCTCATCAAAATACACCTATCCCATAGATTACTAGCTCCATTCAATACATGTATTACTAGATACTGGATTGGATTAAGAAACGCTTAAGCATCATGTAAATTCGCCCATCAAAATTCCACTTGGCATTCAAATCCGTCGCTACAGAAGAATGGACGTGTTCTATGTCCATCGATCCAAATATTCCACTAGCTAAAAAAGTCTCAAGCCAAAAAATCTCTTCAAGTCAAATCGCGCACCACACCAGTTATTCTTTCTGCGTTTTTAACGACCTGAGTGCTTTCTCAGCTTATGTGTTCATTTGATTTCTAATGGATTCAAACGGTATAGAGCATGAGAGTAAATGCAGCAGGAAATATTTTATAAAATTCATTCGAGTGATTTCTGCAAGAAAAATTCATCCTCAGTGTCTAATATGATCCATTACCTCCAATTGATTTCTTTTGTTTTGTTTTACAGTCATTCCTTTTTGACCACATAAAGTATCAGTCCTAGATAAGTTAGAACTTCAAATTAAGTGAGTATTACGTCGATTGAACGCACTAATTTCTTGGTAATATACACATATTTTAAAATGTCCCCTTTTCGAGGGCTATAAGGAAAAATACCGTCTAACTGATAATATTGGCAAAAACGAGTCAGGGACTTGCCCCATTCTACGCAGTATAAAGTACGCAAGCTGACGGTTTTAGTTTATTCCCAATTCTGTAGAGGAATTTTTCGCCCAATTCTGTTCGCAAATCTAACCTCTAAATTACAAAAACGACGAAGTTTTCTCTTCGCACTGCAAAAGTTTCAGTTTGTTGATAGGCGGTATACTGTCGTGCCAAGAAATAACGCCGTCAGGCTCGGACTGGCCATAAGGCCAATCTGCCATTGGCAGATACGCCCCCTAGGCGCGCCAAAAACGCGCCCCTCTGACAGATAGCAAAATAAGAGGAGAAAAAAAAAATTACGACCGAGAATGTATGCGGAAAATTTCTTAAATGAACGGAAGAAGAGAGATTTAGGAGTGAAGAGAGGTGCTTTTACGCATAGTGGTGAACAGAGGTCCTAGAACTACTTTCTGAAGCGTAAACACTTTTCTGTGAAATTGTAACCTTTTTGTCGACATACAGGTGCTTTATCATCTCCCTCCTTTATTCTCTATGTGTAACGCCCGTAGAGGCGATAACCGGTTCGATTTTTAGACATACGCACACTTTATAGACCTCTTGAGAGACCTTTAAACATATTTCTTCCTTTTCAAAATAACTATTGATTTAAACATATCATAGCATATCTCGGGCAAACTTAACCTTAATTTATTTCGAAATTCAAAAGTAAGAGACATCTGAAGTGTAAACGCGATACAACTATTGATGTCCACATTGCACATGAGAAATGTAAGACGCGATGGCGTGAGTCGTGAACTCGCAATGCTCTGCTCTAGTTTAAAGCAACATTACAAATAAGACAAACGGAAACAAACACAATATGGAAATAGAGCGAGGAAAAGGATGCGCGCTAACAACGGCGCAGAGATACAACTATTCGTACTTGATGGACGTCCGTGCTGCATCTGAAAAATTGAAGGCGCGATGACGCGAAGCGTGAGTTCTCAATATTCTGCTATATGCTGCCAATGAGGTGTCGCTCAGATTCGGGAGAAAAGTTAAAAAAGAGGCCCGAACACATCTCTCCTACCCTCGGCTGTGTTATTCACGCAGTGCTTGAGGCACCATTTCGAATAAGACAAACGCAAACAAACACAATATGGAAATAGAGCGAGGAAAAGGATGCGCGCTAACAACGGCGCAGAGATACAACTATTCGTACTTGATGGACGTCCGTGCTGCATCTGAAAAATTGAAGGCGCAATGACGCGAAGCGTGAGTTCTCAATATTCTGCTATATGCTGCCAATGAGGTGTCGCTCAGATTCGGGAGAAAAGTTAAAAAAGAGGCCCGAATACGTCTTTCTTGTCGTCGGCTGTGTTGATACTCGTTCGCTTTCTTCTTTTTTCAGGTTCTTGTCTGATTCTTTTTTAGGATGGATTTTTAGACCCACGTCTTAAGCTCGTGTAAACCGCAGCACTGACACTATTCTTATGGAAATAATGGTGCTTGGATGCGTCTAGTGGCTTTAATTTTTTTTGTTTTCTTCAATTTCAGAAGTCTGTCGGTCACTTCGATACATTCAATTTTACAATTTTTACTCTGTACGATTAATAAACTTTGAACCTGAAAATAGAGTAAACTTGTGCTGCTTTGCCAAAATTTTCTGAATCCCTCTCCACGAAGGGGATGCCCCATCAGGAAATATCACATTACGCCCCTTTAACCAGCCAAGGGTCTACGCCCTCAGATGCGAGCCAGTCCGACCCTGAACGCCGTATGAACTTTCAGGCGTTGCCAAATTTCCTTTGATAAAAAACGAATTTCTTGGTAAACTTAAGAATATTTTTCTCCTACTTTTTCAATTAATTTTGTTCGCAATTTCAACTAAAGTTCCTGAAAATATCAAGGAAAACTATTCATGACTTTCCTTAAAAATAAACATTTTATCGAAAGAAATTTGACATTTCTCGAATTATCATATGGCGTCCTTCCTTATCACGGCAGTATTATGCCTTAACCATGGATATTTACCATAGCTTCTTCATGAAAAGCAGGTTATTACTAAGCAGGTGCATTTCTGTTACAGGTATTTCGTGGGCACCGTTCTCCAATTCCAAATCCATCGTGCTTTATGTCGCGCCGCCAACCAGTACAACCCAGATGATCCGAGCAAACCCCTGCATAAGTGTGATATTTACCGCAGCAAAGAGGCAGGGTACCTCCTTAGGTAAACTTTCCTAACACCAGTATAAATCAATCAAATTATATTTGTAAAATATAGGTATACATCGTGTAATTTAAAGTCAAATTATGGAGAGACGTCTCTATGCTGGCGTTATCTTTTATTTCCCAGGTGTAATAATTCAATGACGAAAAAATAATGAATATCTTCCGACGTGAAAAGTTCATTGAAATGGGTGCCTATTTTGATGCTCAAATATTTTTCCACACGTGCATCTGAGCATGCGAAATTGCGAAGAAGACAGTATCCAGTGATACCGAACCAATAAGTTTTTCTCTACATATAGGAAACGTGAAATTCGTATTGTTGACTGGTTCTATGTAGAATTTGATATAATATTGGTACAGTTTGAATAATCACGAAGTATGTGAGTGTGAAGAGGACCTTATCAGCACATTACTCTTTCATTTAAAATAGCGGCGAAATCAATCCACGAATATACCAGTTTACCGTCGACTCACCGCCAGTGGCGAGGCGTGAATGATCGGTTATCGATATTCCCCCATTTGAAGCAATGGTGAAGAATCGATCATTAATGTGTTCGCGATGCGAATGCCCTGTTTATCGATCCTTTTCCATAGGTTTAAATGGCGGATCAATTGACGTATCGCAAAGTACGCCAAGCCACTGTTCACCGCTTAAAAGATCGGAACATATTCGGAGACTTAAACGCATGGGTGGGAAAAAAAACCAATTCCTCAAAATTGATTCTATCCGCTGAGTTCAAGGCCACTCCTGTTTTTGAGCAATTTTCGTGCCTCTATTTGTCTATTCGCACAAACTGCAGAATAGAACCGTGTCAAAAAAAAAAAAAAAAAAAAAAAAAAAAAAAAAAAAAAAAAAAACTTCGGGTGATATGAATTCCATATTCGACCGATTTGAAAGCCTTACTCCGATATTAAGAAACCGCAAGACTGGAAAATTCTCAAAACTAATGTTCGTCAATTATATTCATCCAACAATCCTTCAGCTAAGAACCACTGCGAACCAGTTTTAGATTCAGCTAGTAGGTCCTTTCTCCTGCGAAGAGTTGGTTCCGTTGTTACCGAATGCAGTCAACTTTACGAGCTCATAAAATCGAAGACAGTAGTAGCGACCGCAAATTGCCCGATGATTGTCGAGCATGGACCACGAGCCAAAAGCCGTCTGAGCACCCGACATCGTCTCTCCTTTGACGTGAGGACGTATCTCGATTCCCGCAGAGGCCCTAGAAAGCATAGATTTGTACAGAAAACAGGGCTCACGTTGAAATTGAGATACGCTCTTACGTCAGAAGGCGACGATACGCACGGACCTTGCGCAAAGTCTCATCTCGCCGCGCAGTAGCGTTTTCATGGGCGCCTCCACCTTGCCGATCGTGAATGTGGACTTAATTAATTTCTGGATCAAGGCCCCCGCAGACAAGATGTCCCGTGTAAACAGGAATTTGAGCGCAAAATTTGACATTGAAATGCTGTTACAATCGGTCCACGCAATCCGTTGTCCTTATCAAACTCGGCCAGGATTGAGACCTCTTCGTCGCGCCACCTTCCGCTTTCTTCCGGATCATTTCCTCCGTAAATCATTTCAGTGAAACCGTGTCCACGTTTGCTGGAAATTTTAGAGAGTTCTAAGAAATTTTTGAAATTTTTGCCTTCCTTGCTTCACTAAAAGCTCCCTTCTTGCGTGATCGTCGTAAATTGAGGCGTTGGGTGCAGAAATGGCATTTGGACGTAGTTCTACCAAACGGAAATGTGTGCATTATAACATGAACCCTGTTATGCATTTATTCTTATGAGTCTCAGGGCTCACGTCATAATGCACATAGTTCCGTTTGGCAGAAATGCGTCCATTTCATAGTTGGTTGCGTTAGTTTCATAGTTGCGGTGTTCCAGAATCTCCAGTACTAATTTTTATTTTACAGAGGAAACTTTTGGGTGAATTTTCTGAAATTTTACGTCTTCAGCACTGTAAAATTACAAAGAATATTCAGCGAAAGTTACAAGAAATTATATACATTTGCTTTAATTATAATGGATGAAACGTCAGCGGAGATTTTGAAACACTGCAACCAATGAATGCCTTTTCTGCACCCAGCGCTTTAATTACGCCATTAAGCGATTTGATTTTTAAGGTCATGAAATTCTAGCCGACTGACTTCAACTCTGCCGTGCTAGGGAAAAACACCGTATGAGCCTCCAGACGTTGCAAAATTTACTCTCACCAAACCTAAATTTTCAGGAAAATTCGCAAGTATTTTTCGGAAATTTATCGGTAATTTGGTATCGTATAGAATATCGAACAATTTCGAAGAAAAATATGTATAACTTAACGCAAAAATAAATATTTTAATCGGGGCAGATTTGGCAACGTCTGAAGGCTCATACGGCGTTTTCCCCTATCACGGCAGAACTCGGGCAAAACCCTTTTAGCAGAGAAAAAAGAATACTACGGAAGGAAATCTCCTCTTAAAAGAAACATCTAAGGCCATCTAAATTTATGTGTCAACTGTATACAAATTTTATCTTTTGGTATTCCAGAATTCAATCGCAAATGGACGATTTCACTCAAAATATTATTAGTTTCTTATGTTACTTTGTTTTATTGTTCTTTCCTTAGTTTCATAAGGTACAGCCCGCTTTCTAGAACCTCTTTAGAAACCTATCCTAAATTATTCGTGACAAATTTCCCTAAAAATCGTGTTAGATTTGCCGAGGCAAAGTGACCAAATCTTGATCTAAATCATGCAAAAAAAGCACGTCAATTTTTTTAGTCTTCAGGGCCACAGGATGAGTTTAACCAGTCTAATCATTTATCATACATACTATTCGACATGTTAGTCAAAATAGCTTTCTTATCATCAGTGGAGGACGTTTCGATACGAGTATCTTTACCGTCCGTTCTTCAATTCGCCGTTGACGGATTTTATTATTAAAAATTTTAATTTAAAGTTTAAAAAAATTAAATTAAATTAATTGATCAATAAATGAATAAATTATTTAAAATTTTATTTTGTTATAATTTTTAATTTAAATGTTAAATTTGAATTTTTTTATTAAGTATTATTATTTATTTTGTTTTATTTATTCTCCCTCGGCTAAGGTGTAAAAATTGAATCTTTTGTTACAGCAATTTGATGGAGCTAGGGTCCTCCCAACACTGGACACAGACTCTGTACGAGGCAACTGGAGAGACAAGGTTGAGTGGTGATGCGCTGCGGGAGTATTTCAGGCCGCTCGAGGATTGGCTCCGCAGTGAGAACGTCCGAACCAACGAATTCATTGGTTGGATTTATGGTACGCCTTTCATACACATATTCGCCAATAGCACAGCCACTGAGCCAAACACGGAACACACGCATCTGAGAAAATGTGTACTCCAATGGCGATGTTTCCGAATATTTTAGCATTGGAGGATCTAGCGAATTAGCAACACTGTTTTTCTGCATCCTTGGAGGGACCAGATGCTCCGACAAGAATCGATTATTTAACATAGATTTAAGTGGAGGGGAACCGGTGTTGCCAAATTGCTGGATCCGCCTGCACCTCTGTATTTTAGTTGTTGGAAAGAAAACTAACCGAAGTGTATTGTGAAACTAGGGGGCACACACTGTGACCGTTACGCGGCTTAACCCCCGGAGGACACCTCGCGCCCTCTAGAGGCTCGCTTGGCGGGCCCTCGTGAATTAGTCCAGCAAGGTAATCTAGGGACTATCTCCAATGTATGACATGAAAAGTCTTATGAAAATCGGGCCGGTAGTTTTTGAGTAGGAATTTTAACAAGAAATGAACATTTACATTGTTTAACCCTTAGGTGCCCAAGCAGGGTCACTGAGTCAATCTTGAAGCAAAATTTGCTAAAAACACGTGGTTCACGGTTTGTATGGGGCTGGTACGTTTGAGCTTTAGATATAGGTCTGCAAAACACATCGTAAAAAAAGAATCAGACATCCAATTGAAAAAAGAAACAAATCAAGTATCAGAGAATTTTTTTTGACAACTACCCAACTAGAAATCCGAAGCCTGGTCAAATTAATTGACCTGACTATCTTTTTTGGGGGAGTTATTGTGCCGGCACATAGCTATACAAGTATAGGTCGACAAATACATCCTTAGAGACGAATCAGACATCAAATTTGAAAAAAAAAAAACGAAAAAAAAAATTGAGTGTCAACCCAGCCGAGAGGAAGAGAGACGTATTAGGGCCTTTTCTTAATTATTTCTCTCGAATCTGAGCGGTACCTCTTTTGGCAGAATAAAGCGGAGCGTTGCGAGTTTTCGCTTCGCGCCATCGCGCCTTCGATTTTGCAGACGCAACCCGGACATCCATCAAGCACGAATAGTTGTATCTCTGCGCCGTCGTTAACGCGCGTCCTTTCCCTTGCTTTATTTCCAAATTGTGTTGGTTCCTTTTGTCTTCTTTGTAGAGGTGCTTCAAGGGCTACGTAAGTAACACAGTCGAGGATAAGAAGGACGTAATACGGTCTCGTTGTTTAACATTTCCCCCGAATCTGAGTGGTACCTTACTGGCAGCATAGAGTGGAGCATTGCGCGTTCACGACTCACGCCATTGCGCTTTCAAATTTTCTTATGCAAGATGGGAATCCATCAATCACGAACGACTGTATCTCTGTAATGTCATCAAAACACATTAGGGTTTCTCTTATTTTTGATATTTGAGAAAAAACTTTTACTTCATTTCAATTGTTTTTCTAATTTTTGACGCAGAATTGATACTTATTCTTCTTATCTATTCATATTCTGTTTGAAGTTATTTAACTTATTATAGATACATTTTTAATCATTTATATATTAATATTATACGATTTATATATGAATGATGAACAGGATTATTAGATTGAATAATACCTTTCGTGGTGCGTCGCAAACAAAGATACGTGGTTTTACATTTTGTCCATCGATATTTCCTCAAGTTTCATTGTATTTTTACGCATCTGATGAGTTTTGCTGCTGTGTTACCCTCCGTCACCTTTGACATTTGATGCGTGAGTGGCTGGAGGAGAAAGAGGAAAAGATTGAAGGGAAATTTCAGTGACCCGTGGCCGATATAATCTTCATTTAAGAACGAAACGGATCTGACTCGCTGGAAAGCCCCCTCGCTCGAGCTCAATGATTTGACATCAAATTGAATCGATTTATCGATTTCATCGATTTTAAATTCCTCTCGTCTGGAAAAATTGCGATATCTTGAAATTAAGTTTCGATTATGTTTCGATTATTTGGCGATATAAAATCGCTATGATCATCAACATCTAAGCGATTATCCTCAAACTTGTCGCAATTTGATCTCGGTAAAATCGCCTTCATAAAATCGGAATTTTATCTCAAGTTGTCACAATTTTTTGCTCGATAATATTGCCACACCGTCGACAAAATCGCGATTTTATCGCAAATTTATGTGATGAAATATCAATTATCGCAATTGGGTATCGGATAACAATTGCAACTCATCGCAATCACTCCTACTACTTGGGCTACGCACTTTCACACGATTCACAGATCACCCTCTGTTCATGGTTTGAGCCTACAGGTAAACTATCTCCAACAAAAATTCCACTCACTGAATGATGAGTTTCATATCAAAGGAGTTATTTTAACCGATCAAACCTGCAACACATAATACAGCAGTGCTATTATGGGTATTTCTGTCTAGAGGCAGCAACATTGAGGCTACATCTTCACAAAATTTCCCCTTACCCAAGTAGCAGTGATCGCGATAAGTTATGATTTGATCGGAAAATGTATTTCGATTTGACGTCGATTTATTGTAGCATCATTGGATAAAAAATTGCGATAAAGTATCATATTATCGCATAAATTTGCAATAAAATCGCCATTTCATCGACGGCGATTCATCGCAATATTATCGAGCAAAAAATCATGATAAATTGTGATAAAATTCCGATTTTATCGAACGCGATCTTGTAGAAATAAATTTGCTACAAGATCGAGGATAATCGCTCAGATGTTGACGATCCTAGCGATTATTTCGACAAAAAATCTTAAAAATATCGCAATTTTTCCGTTAAAAAATGCTACTCGGGTAGTGATCTTAATAACGCAGCGTTGCAACGATATTTCGACCACATGGTATCCGTTTTCCTCGTAAAATACGATTGGGAAGACAGATCGATAGACGAATTCGATAAACATACTGATGGTAAAATACGGGTTCATTTCAAGGAGGGTTCGATTGTTTCCAGGAATTTTTCCACCTCTTGTTTTTCCTCCAATAGTGGATGCAAAGAACACAAACAACTTGATTGAGCCGATAAGAATATCCCATGATTAGACTAACACAAATTAAAGAAAGAGACAGCACAATCCTCATGGATTTTTACTTGATTCTTTTCCAATAAATTCGGCCAAATTAATACGTGTATATTGTTGTACCTTTTATTTTGTAAAAGTAGGCCAATTACCCATCATGTTACAAACAATTTTTGTTTCTAGAGTGTAAAGAGGATCTACAGGTGTTAAAATTTTACGTAGATAAATTGAAAAGTGCAGCTAGTAAACATGTAAAGTGACAAATTTGGATTTCATAAACACGTTTGAGGTGGGAAAATCATAGGGGTATCGCTGTCTGAACAAGGTATAAAGTTATGTTGTACAGCGAAAATTGAACTGATTTTTTCCTCAAGGGCCCAAGCACCAAGATCTAAGTTTCGAGAACAACGCAACGGGGGAAAACTGCGCGTATCATTCGGCTTGCGCTCCATCTCTTGAGCCCAAAACATAAATTTAAAATGCTTTCAAAATGCTGTATTTAAAAGACCGTTCAAAAATGGGTCTCCAGCCTATTGCTGTAGCATATGTTGCGTCTACACGGAGGCAACATAAATTTTGGCGCTTGGCCCTCTAAGAAAAAAAAAATCAGTCCAATTTAAGTTAAAATGTTTAATATTTTACATACGATACTTTGAGACTATCTCTACTTGAAATAATCAATGTATACATTTTTACAAAAATGTTCTTTAAAAAGTCCATTTCGACCTAATTACACCTAATTTACCATCAATCAGGAGTGGCTCTGATAAAAATCAAAGTCTTTCTTATCACCGCCTCGGTATAGCACAGTGCAACGAAAGTATTATAATAATTTTGCAAATTGCAATGAAATTGCAATTTTTCTGTATCATAAAAGTTCAATGTTTTATTATCATTTGGTGCAGACAATGAACTACATGCATGAAAGGGGTAGGCAATATGCAATGCAAAAGAATTGTAACCAACTTGATTCAATTTCATTGGAATGAATTTCAACAAGAAGTGCCCCTTCAATTAGTGGATGGACAAAATACACTACACTCCGATACAGTAGCATTAGTTTTACCACGCGAACGGTGAATTGCAATTTATTGCAACCTGTGTTACGGGCGCAATGCAGCTGTTCGCAGGCTGAACGAAAAGAAAAGTAAAGAACTTAATTATTTAAAATGTTTAAATTTTTAAAAATATTAGTGTTTTCCTTAAAATATTCTAAATCTAAATAAAATATAGAAAATTCCCGTTAGCGCTTTGTATGCAGAGCCGCATTTACCTACTTGCCGCCCATGGGCCGCCTGTATTTTTTCGCCCCCTTCTCATTCGTTTTGAAACATCAATAGATCGTATTCGACAGTGGCTCGATACAACAGACTCAAAACAATAGACCTCAAACAAAAATTTTAGGATTTAATTTGGAAAAGCTGAAAATGAGAAAATTCCTGACGATTTCATTTTTCATTGCCATTTAGTACTCGAGAGAATAAAAATTCCATCACATAAGACCCGTTACCTCAGATTTTTAAATTGACTTTTAAGGCTGTGATTACATGTTGAATCAATCGATATCAATATGATCTCACCTGTGTGATCCGTCGAATACGATCTATAAAAACCACCAAGTGAACGTGCCGGAGGGGAAGGGGTAGGGGTGTACGAGACGCGTTCACTTGTGTTGGGCACATTTTTTGTGAAAGCCCTGTCAACACTGACAAAAGTTCAGTTCCGTAAAACCATCCCTGTTTGGTCAAGGCCTTCCATTTAAAAAAAAGAACTAACAAATTATGAAAGAACAAACATAAATGTGGTTAATGAGTTTACTTTCCGCCGCCGCGCGCCGCGCCGACCGCACTGAGTTGGAGCAATGCGTGAAGTATTCATGCAGTCTTGTAGGCGCTATGCGTTTCACGCCGACCGCTGCTGATGACCACACTGTTTGGCGCAATGCGTGAAGTATTCATGCAGTCTTGTAGGCGCTATGCGAATCTAGCCGACCGCAGTGTGTTTGACGCAACGCGTGAAGTATTCATGCAGTCTTGTAGGCGCTCTGCGTTTCATGCTGACCGCCGCTCCGTTCCAGGTCAAATTGCGTGTTCGGTTTCTCTCTTAACTCGACTAATTAAAGGCGTTGTCTCTTGTATCACCGAAAGACGACAAAATTAGAAATTACTATACTTTTACTCTCAGGAAATGAGAGATTTTGTCGTCTCTCCTCGTTTGTAATTTATTTTCTGGATCCGATTTTTCCTCCCTTTTTTTGATACCTACATTAAAAAAGATTGCAAAATTTGCCGCCCCCTTCATTTTGCCGCCATGGGCCGCGGCCCATGTGGCCACCCCCTTAATCTGGCCATAAAAGTGAACGTGATTCGTTCTTTGGACAAATGGAAAAGTGGGATTTTACCAAACAGAACTAGGCAAGCGCCAACTGCTCAAGTAGCAGTGATCGCGATAAGTTGCAATTTGATCAGAAGATGTATCGCGATTATCGACGTGGATTTATTGATAAATATTATCGAATATAAATTGCTATTTTATCGTAGCACAGTGCGACTGAAATGTTGAAATTAAATTGCAATTTGATTTCAATAAAATTGTAATTTTTTTACCATTGGGTAAATTTCATTATTTTTACATCATTTAGTCAATTAATGCCAATTTCAAACAATCAGCAAAATGAGCTCCATGTGTCAGAAATTTAAGCAATATGCAATGCAATGACAAATAGCAACTTACTTCAATTATATCGTAAGAAGTTTCAATAAATGGGGCCCCTTCAAATTGGAGCTAGGCAACATACACAACACTCAGTGGAATTGCGATGTTTTTACTATGTAATTGCTACCTACCGCAATCTATGCTATTTGGGAACGGACGATTTCGCTGGCCGCGGAGTGGCCTATAGGAACCCCCTAGTACGTCCAAATTTTATTTTCTCCGTGTTTTGTTTGACTCCTTCATCGATTCTGATACTGTATTATGATAGGTAAACAACTCACCTGACGTCGTATTCTTCTCTATTTTCCAGATGGTGACTATTGCAAGCACAGTATAGAGACGGCCAACTTACAGGTCTACGGAGGATATTACAACGCAGCCTCGAGATCCTTCGGTACAACTTTAGTGTTTGGAATTGCTAGTCTCGCGCTCGGAGCCATCTACTTCGCCTAAATGCTCTGCGCAAAACACAGCAAGGAAAAAAACCACCGAGGGTCTGAGACTTGGGTGTTCAGCTATCTGCAATTTTGATTCACCTAAACTTTCCAGGTCACCAGGACTTCACGATCATTCACCCTCAGTAGCAGATCCCAGCTGTGGGAGGTATTGGGTGAATCTATCCAGAGGCGGATCCAGCAATTTGGCAACACCGGATTTCCTCCATTTAAACCTATGCTAAATGATCGATTTTTGTCGGAGCACCTGGCCCCTCCAAGAATCGATACATTTCCATAGATTTAAATGTAGAAAAAACAATGTTGCCAATTTGCTGGATCCGCCAATTTGACCGTAATTTATAGATCCGAGTTTTTTTCGTGAGTTTTTGATACGATGTCGTTACATTCACACACGGAATTTCAATTTCAGTCATCGGAAGATGAAGATGAAGATATACCTATTTTGTATCGTTTACATTCTAACAGAAAAATTCAACTTTTTCTCGAAAGTGCCTATATAGGCATTGAAAGTGCCCTAATTCAAATCAACCAAGCGTAGTGGCTAAGAATGTCAAAGGATTTTAGAAGAGATATGTACTTCTACTTACATTTTCAATTCACATACATAGTTAAAAAAATGAAGAAGAAGAATATTCAGTTTTATTGCTCGGATGTATACATAGTGCGATTCTTATTCAAAAAGACAGCTGCTGCTTTTTTAGGGTCCTGTATTTTGGTGTTCTATTCACATTAAGCATCTGCTACTATATTTGGCAGGTATAGACTTTTCCAGCATAGCCGATGATCACAAAATTCGATGTGAAACTCGTGGTATATGTACAGGTGGATTTTTTCCTGATACCGCTACTATGTTCAAACAAAAGGCATAGTTTTGTACTAACCTGTAAAATGATAACTCAAAAATGTTAATATTCATTAAAACATTGAATTCATTTGAGTTTCCTATCGAAAATTCCCCTTGCAATAAGGTCGAGCTCAAAGTTTTCCATGTCCAGGAATTAATAAACTCTCTTTTACAATTATTTGCGAAGTTTGGAATTTCATAGGTAAAATGTAAGAATACAAACTGTTTCAGCAGTTATTATTTTTATCCTCTTCCTCTTCTAATTCTTCTTCTTTATTTTCTTCTTTCCCTCCGTCTTATTTGTCTCCTTCCTATCAATGTAAATTCGAAGTGCCCGGTACAAGTAAGTAGGTACATGGCAGCAAAAAGGTGAGTCATACAAATATGAAAGTCCTCTGTTACCTAAGTGAAATTCCTTTTTATTTAAATTAATTTATTCAAGAAAATAAACAGTTAAATCTAAGAAGGAAGAAAAGAAGAGAGAGAATAAAATAAAATAAAATAAATAAAATGAAATTGGAAAAGAGAGAAAAAAATAATAGGGAATTAGAAGAGTAGAAGAGAAAAAAATAAAATGGAATAAAATAAGGAAGAAAGGAAAGAAAAAAGTAAAGAAAGGAAATGATTCAAAAAGACTAAATTAATGTACACTCATCGTATTAAGTGTGAATGCAGAGTCAAGTTTTCAAAATTCTTCTTTTTTCTTCAAACTATATTAGGTATCAAGCTTACGACGATTTTCCTCTAGTAATCATCATGTTCTTCAAAGCTCAATTTTTTAACAAGAAAATGATAAAATAGTGCGTAGGACCAAAATTATCATGGAAGTTACCAAATTTTATAATGATGAAAGTGATGACAGATGTACCACAACAAGAAGAACGATCACTTTCTCAGCAATGCTATCGGGGAAGATGGTAGTGGTCATCAGCCATGAGCCGGTTTTGACAATGATTTCTCTCTGGTTGAAGATGGCTCAGACAACATGTCTGCAGCACCATTGTATAGTCAGTAAGTTATCGCCTGGGCTAAGCGCTCGTCACGAAATGAATTATGTCTTTTCATATTACCATATTATCCGCTAATCTGTGATCTAGCTGCCGACGATTTACTTATAGAAGTGTCTATTGTAACTGTTTTTATATTTTAATTTAACTGCAACATATCTGTAAATAAGATAATTTTTCTGTATAAATTAATTTTTGTCAATTTTTTTAAAAATATCAAAAGTGTTTTATTTTTCTTCCCTTAGATAGTCTTGTCGAGCATCTTGTCAAATATATGAAGTATTTACATCCTTTGCCAGACAAAATAAGGCAAAGCTATTTAAAGCTAACTTACTTTTGACAAAAGCGAGATAAAAAAGAAGAATTCATACGAATAATTCAGTTGATCAGACATATTTATTATGGCTTCTTTAACTCCTTTCGATATGACAAGATTTTGAGCTGATATGTACATACACATGAATTGTTACATCTCCTCAATTCATTCATTGAATTAATTGCGAACATGCAATAGCGATAAGTAGTCATTGATTGATAATGCACAAGTTTTATTGCCAAGGCAAAAAATAAAGTTTTCCTTGTGAACAAAGAAAAATTCAATAATTGTAATTAGTGCGCCAGAGTAAGAATAAAAAGCAAGCTTAAAGTAACAATTAATATAAATGATTGAAAATAATATTTAATACTGTTTCTATGAAGACACTTGATTTGCACCTTAAGATTCAAATAACAATCTGACAAAGAGTAAAGATTAAACTGATAATTCATAATACCCAAAAACTATGTTTGCAGTTAGCAAAACATATAATTGACACAGTGTCATCTTAAAGAAGTCAATGAGAGAATACTTGAGCAATAAATTTAAAAAAAATAATTCTATTTAAGATGAAAAAATAATGGCAATATTAATTTATGAATCGGTATTGACTAATCCAATAGCTAAGTCTATTTTTGATTTGTCTATATTCCTTTCTTTCCTTCGTCTCATTTCCCCCCTTTTTTCTAATTTTTCTTTACCAAATGTATGAATACAGAACAAGGCACAGATTTCGATTGAATGGTGAAAAATATGCAGGCGGAGGGGGATTAGGGCACAAGGCAGCTGTTTTAGAAGATGAACAGGAGAAAAATAGGTGATAATATAAAAGACACAAAATCACACACATAAATTAGGGTCAAATTATTAAAGATGGCACGTAACAGAGAAAAATCACAACTGAAAGAAATTCAGGTCCCAGGAAAATTCCGCCGAACCTCTGGAAGTTTAGAATTATCAAAACAGGAATGAAGAGTCTTCATTCAGACTACGATGAAAATTAGCAAGGAATAGGGGGATAAAATGAATTGCTTTGAATTGTGACTGAGATACATGAATTGTAACTTAGGAGGTCAATGGTAAAAATGGAAGAAAGTTTAGTTCTCCACTTAAAGAAAGCTTTTCATACTCTAAGAAGGTGTACAATATTTTATTATTACTTAATTTTTTTTTGTCGAGGTCGTTTATTTTTCATTTTTTTTTTTCGAGATGGAGGACAAATTCTATACTTGCTTAGTTATATAAATAGCAAAAAACATTCCCAGGAATTAAGTGCATTCCATCCACACGAGTGACAGTTTTTCTCGCAACATGAGAGGAGAAAAATTCAATTTGATTTTCTTGTCATGCAGCTGAATCAACTCAAACCTCAAACAGTGAAAATTTTTCTGGAGAAATCCTGATTTTTGTACACTCATAGCAATTAAACACATCGGTTCAAGTAAATAATTGTAACGCAAGATAAATAAAGTATGAAATTTCATAAGATTGCAACAAATTGAAAATGCATACATTTCATTAATTAGCAAAGAAGTAACTACAAAAATAACACAAAATCTCTTCAATTCAACTAAAATGCAAGAATACCTTAAAATAAAAATCGTCAGATGTACAAAATCACTCTGATTCAAACACCAAGTTGGACAACTTGGTCTCTTTTGACAGAGCACTGAACCAAAGCGACATAATTTCAACACAACTACCAATCTTCTTTGTCGTGGAGAAAAAAATATGTGCTGTTTAAGGCTGTGTTCTGAGCAGCAAAAACTTGGAATACATATTTAAAGAACAAAAATCTGAGAGTGACACGAGAAAAATTACAGAGCACAGGTCACACAAGCAAAGGCATTTAACAGAAAGAAGCTGGTCATGGGTACCTATGATTCACAACTGAAAAATAAATAAAAACGAAACCTCTTTGAAAACAGCCTCAGAGTGGGCTATTTATAGTGGATTTTACATAAAAGTACATGGTGTAGACAATAAAGCTAAGCATGCCTAAATACAAGGATCAAAATTTAAAAATTGTATCAGTTTGGCCTCCTTTCTAGATTCTTTTACTCTCTGCTTTTCCCAGAAACTTAATACTTTACCAATATATTGACAGTTGACAGTCATTTAATGAGAGTATTCAGAAACAGATCCAGTCCTTTTGTAAAACATAAAAAACAGCGGTACATACTGCGAAGAAACACAGTGTGATTTAAACCAGTGATTATGCGCAAAAAACTCACAGGTGAGAAAGAATAATAATTATTAAAAAAAAATAATAAAATAAAATTATGTTTATAGTTTTAAGAATTCTCATTCTAATTTTTTTTACTTAATTTCAAGGAAAGAGTTTGCCAGAAAGGAAGGCCCGGAGAAAAAGGTCTGCTACTTCCTCTGAAACAGGCAACTGGAGTGGTAGAAAAAAAATAAAATGAGAGTGTTATCCATTGAAAAATGGAATTTCTAACATTTCTTTAAACACCATTCTGAGCACTTCTTAATTTATTTACAACTAAATTTTCTGCGGTCTCGTAAACTTCCAATTTTGAAGAAAGCTCATTAGCAAGAGATTAAAGATTGCCTCTTCCTGGGTGCTCAAACTACAGCCCCTTTAGCTTTAACAAACTTAAATTAAAAATTACCAAGTTGTTTACAGAAACTTTGAGTTGAACAGTTCTTAATGAGAATGCAAACATCATGAAAAAAAATGTTTTGAGGGTGACTGTCGATTATCAAATGTACCGCATTGAGCATAAAGGAACCAAGCCACATCAGCTGTTGCCAAATTTACATGGGAAATTTAATTTGTTACTTGGAAACGGTTTCGCAGATTTTCTTGCAAATTTCAGTGAATTTTCTCCATAGTACGAAGCAAATTCCCTTAAATTTTCAAAAGGAACTGCACTAACACTCGCTGGTAAAAAATTAAATCGCCCAGTTTTTGGCAATAGCTGGTGTGGTTTGGTTCCTTTCTGCTAAACGCAGTTCAAATATTATCATGCTGACAACTTCAGGTAGATAAAAGTCAACATTGCCTATAACAATGTTCACACTGAGCGCTGGTTTGATGGTTCAGAAAATTCCTTTCAAATTGGATGTTAAAAAACGTTGGGAAAATTTTACGAGTGTTCAATGATTAAGCTTAGGATTCTGACCTGGCTGGTAGATGAAATGTGGACTTTGGTGGTAAGATCAGAGGTTACAATGGAGCAATACACTTTGACCCTGTCATGAGTACTGTTGACAAAAAATATGGATTGGTTATTGGGGAAAAGGGTGGGGGTATCAACCATCAATAACCCAAACCCATTCAAGATTTGCTCGGATGAACGAGGTCAATCGATCTCACCAGCCAATGGCATCACTTTGCTTCAGTAATGCCTGTTCAGAGCGTGGAATGATCAACATCAGAGATAAAAGAGAATCAGGCTTCAGGTCGCTCTGCTTCAAGTTTTCGAAAAAAGTTATCACTCCCTGATACTGTACAAACTGGGTCTACATGACACGTAACGAACACATAAAACATTTTACAAAAATGAAGAGCTTAGGAACAAAAATATATAAAGAATAAGGTCACTTAAATAATAACATAAAAAACATAGTTTAATAATAATGAACAACTTAAATATCTTTGAACTAAATATGAACCATGAGTTCTTATAAAAAGCCTAAGATGAGACTGAGAGGACCCTAAACTTAACGGATGTTTCCGCACATACCTCCCTTAACCATACAATTATTTGCCTGATCATTCATAAGTTGGGAACTTACTACTTCCTGCAGCAACTTTTTTCAACCTTACAGAAAATCGTCATCCTTTTTTAACACATGCACAAGGAGGGGGAAAAAATCGAGTTTTTGCAGAGACCATCTTGTTAGGTGCTTAAAGAAAAAAGACATGTTGCGGCAAATCCACGAGACAAAAAAGAAGAGCTTCAAGGTTGATTGAAGGATATTAGAAGTCCATTTTGAACCCTCAGTGGATAATGTACCAGTTGGTACTCCTGGGCGAGAGGAGAGGCAGAGAAGCTAGCTGCTTCTTGCCTACACTTGCACACATTCAGTGTCCACTACATTGTTTTCTTTCTTCAGTATTAGCATAAAAAAATAAATTTTTCTTCTGGAAAACGTAGGAAGAAAAAGAAATGATACTATGTAATTTAAAATTTTAAGCCTTTATCTGGGTGGATACTACAAATTTACAGAGTACCCAGAAATGTATCAAAAAATGACTGCAATATCCAACTCCCTTTAATCAGCTCTTACAGTAAAAAAAACTTTTTGTGCTCAGTCTTTAAAATAGAGGTCCTTTTGGTCAGATAGGACAATCAGACACTCATATGATTGTACATTCAAGGAAATGAATAAAAAACTTTTTAATTAATTGAATTAATTTTTGAATTATTTCTGCTAACATGAGTTCTTTTGCATCAAGTAGAAATGGTGATTAAAAGGGTATCTTTGAAGTTGGTCTGTGAAAGAACTCGTAATGTTTCTTCTTTTTCTGTGCCTACATGCAAAATAGACCACTGTTCCCAGTTCAGATTTAATATCTACAAGTACAAGGGAACGTTTACTTGGAACACATTGAACATAATTTACAGAGGAAAAAAAGAAGAAAACGATTAAAACTAATTTGGTAAGTTTTAAAGCTAATTTCACAAAGTTGCACATTTTTCTCTGAGACATTAGAGGTGTGAGTTGAAAGAGAAGGAAGCACGTAGAAAAAGTATGGCATAGATAAGGCTTTCCAATATTGAGAGAAAGGCATAATAAAAATTATCTCCAATAAGGGTTGCAGAGAAAAAATTAGAATTGAGTGCTTAGTTGAGAGTGAAATATTTCTGGGGGAAAAAACAACTCTTTTGCAAAAGAGAGTGAAGCACTTTTTAGTTGGCCTTGGCTGACGTAAAAACTGTTAAAATACCTGCCAGATAATAGGGTCTAGCTATCCATTTTCTTCTCACTTTGGATAAAAACAAATTCCACAGCTAAGTTACTTGAAAATCAAAACAGTTCTTACAAGGTTGAACAGAAACGATCAAATGAGAGATCAGTGCTAATACCAAAAGATGGACAAAACTCTAAAGGAGAGGTTCAGATTTGTTTAGGCATAAAAAAGTAGGAATAGCGCAGGGCCCAACTATACCCATCTACTTCGATCAATTTCATCTAGACGAGCCCTTACCGAAAGATCCATTTGTTCTGCAGAAACAAAACCAGTTGAGATAAGGAAAGAGGTCCTTACAGAGAGGAGCAAAACTAATGTGTAGGGGATAGCAGTCTAACGTTATTAAGGCAGGGTTCTATATTTTCCTCATTTTTCATTGTTCTATATTTTCCTCATTTTTCATTCTACCGAATAAATATGTCTTAAATCGGAAGAAAAAAGGAAGGAAACAGGAGCAAAGAGAGACAAATAAAGAAACAGAGAGCATGCACAGTGCATTCTTTAAGTACCTATACTTTGACTTTTGACTGAAATATTAGATGAAGAGTTTTCTGGTTTTAAATGACCTAAAATTTAATGTCGGAGTTAAAATAAAAATCAACTGACTTAGATTTTGGAAAAGAAAAAACAAACAAAAATATTTTATCAAATGGACAAAATGCTGTAAGCTATCGAAGAACTAACAGCATTTTCAAGAATAAAAGAATAATAAGTAACTTTATATCACCAAGGATAGATGAGACATCTTCCGGTAACTTAAATATTCCAGGTAGCTAGCTCTTAAGCAGACTAAGTACTCAAAAATGACTAAAATAATGGACATAATATAAAGTCGACTATAAATGTTGGTAACACAAAACTGTTATGAGCGTGTCAAATTTCTTTTTGAGTCCGTTCAGCAACAGCACGGCGGAAATCCTGCAAAAGTGCGTCGAAAGAATCCTCTTCTTCCTTCCTATTGCTGGCACCGTCATACACTACTGGGCTAGCTGTGCTGACACTATCATATGGACTATATCCCAGGTTTACCAAACCATCTGAAACAAAAATGTATCATAGGATAAGCACAACAAATGCAGACCTTTTCTCTTAAATAAAATCTATATTATACAGCTACAAGCAAAATCTTGGAAGCACTATTTCTGACGAGCTGCCGGACCGATAAGGATGATCTTTACAAGTATGTCATCTGTAATATATGTAGATGTGCAAAAAATTATGAAACCCCGAACTTTTAATGTTGTAGAGCTTTTAAAGCTCATGTCACTTAAGTCCAATGTTAATAGCGTGAGAGATATGTCGTTTCCGCTAGAAACGTCAAGGTGTGGGATTCTACCTGAGTGACTCGAATAAACAATAAAACAATGGAAAAGCTCGTGAAGGGCTCCTCATTCGAAGAGTTGAGGAACGGTGCATCGCTCAGGGTTCAAGGTTCAAGGTCCAAGGTAAAATGTTTAACTCAATTTTTCCTGCATTCTTCCGGCTTCGATTTGTGGCATTGGTCAATTTACTTGATTGCTGAATTTCTATTAATATTGACAGCAGATGGAAATTTCTCCAGTAAGTGGACTGTGAAATTATGTACATCCAGCTATTCCTCATCATTTACAAATCTGAGTATTACGTCAAAAATTTTGAAATCGATGCAGCTCGAACACAAAATGGTGTATTAAAATGGAAGAACATTTTTGCCTATACATATGCGTATACGAGGGCGCGAGGCGCCCTCCCGGGGGTTGGGACGTGTAGCGGTAGGGTGCGTCAAAAAAAATGAAAGTCTGAAATGTTCCGCTCCCCAGGCGGCAATCGATGACGTTTGGTAAAAAAACATGTTTGCCAAAATTTGGGCCAATTTCAACCATTTTAAATGGTGCCAAAGGTCAATTTTGTGACGAAATTATGATATTTTGGTTTCGACCTCGATTTCGTACAAAAAACTCGATTTTACGCTGAAATCGTGCGTTTACGAGAAAAATGCCAAAGAACTCGACTTGTAGAGAATGAAATTTTACATTAGGAGGACGTCTTTGTAACCGATAAAAAACAAATTGAATTAGAAAAACTCAACTCGGTATTTATTTTTTTGGTCCTCAGAATTTCCGAGGTCTTAC